CATGGGTCCTAAGGCTTCTTGAAGAAAAAGGATTTGGCTCAAGATAGCAAATAAATTTAGGAAACACTGCAATCCTATCCTAGAAGGTTCATAACATATATTAACTTTCAAAGCTCTTTGTAGCTCATCTGGCAACAACTCTAATTCACTTAAACATCATATTCCTCAAACCTATTTGACCACAGAATGCATTTTCTACTTAATATCCATGAACGTCTTGAGGGTCCAGTATTCTGTGGAACACTTTGAGAAACACTGACTTATGGGACCTCTAACTATCAGAAGTGTCACACTAATTTTCAAAACAAAACTCTAACTCATTTTAGTTTTTGGAACTTTAATCTTCAAAACAATTTGGAAGATTGGGGAAAGCAATGTTCTTACATCAAATGAACACATTCACAAAACCAACGTGAAGTGGATGATGTCTCTTACAAGTGGGGAATCTCCATCTTGGAATGAAAAATCCAGCGTTAAAACCTGAATCTCCAAGTCGGGAAGAGAAAGTCTGCAAACATCCCTGTACCTGCCCCAGGAACAAGGCAGAACCCTGGCCCTTCTCTCCAGCAACAGCACGGAAGCAGGTCCCAACGAGCCCTTTCTCCAGTCTCTATGAAGAAAGGGAAGCCGTGAGAAGCACAGGTGTCACCTGGGGGGAGACTGTACTTAAGAAAACGTTACTTAGGAGATGTTGAAGAGTGAGCATTAGGAACCCTGGGAAAAGAAGCATCTAATGGGAGCTTAGAATTTCCAAGGATTTCCAGGAGTAATTCAGGTGATTTTCACCCCATTTATTCACGCTCCACGTCAGCTCTGTGGCCAAAGAAACCTTCCAGAAAGTCATCTATAAATGCAACTGCTTAAAGTGACAGTCACTCAAGGCTCTGTCCCTGTGCCCCAGAGAGCAGCATCGATACCAGTGTTTTCTAGGGAAAAGAATGTATGTATGGAGTGTAACCAGCCTCTGCACAGAAAATGCCTTTTCACAGCTGTGTAAATTTTCCTTTACTGTTGTCAACACTAAAAAGATCCAGACAGCCATTCTCTCAATGAATGACAGTTCAGACTTCAGGCTTTTTTGAGGTAAGAATAAAGATCTTGCAGATGCATAATTCTCGAGATGAACATATTGTGACCACAAACTAGACTAGAGCCCCAAGTGCAAGTAACAGAGTGTGTTCTCCATGCAATACGCACGGATTCGTGTTCATCATACGTTACACTGCCTAACAGAGAAGTAGCTACCTTAAGGGGAAAAAAACATGACACAAATAGCCTACTTTGCCTATTGGGTTAGAATTAATCCTATTCCCCAACACGAGTGTGTAAGAGAATCACAGCATTCAGGTATCCATTCGACAGGAATCAGAAACGTGCCTCCTTTTGGACAGCAGCCTCAACAAAACCTAAATGGGCTCCAACACCAGGACCTGCTGTTTCCACATCCATATCCCACGGTTTCTGTAGAGTTCTGTATCACCACGTACCTCTTACCAGGGCCACTTCACAGACAGAATGTCAGGTTTCGGGCTTACAATTACATCTGCTATGCACTTCTGAAACTATGATTCTGTCCTCATCTGGCAGATGACAAACCTGCTATTGCGGGAGAGTCACTGGTGACGTGGCAGAGGCAGGGAGAGAACTACCCCTCTGCGCTCCAGCTGGGCCTTTTCTGGTTGATGTTTTCCAATCTTTATTGCAAAGTATTTAAAAACGAAGTATGGGGCTGCTCCCTAATGGGGTCTCCAAATGCCAAAAGATGAAGATAAATGAAAGAGCTTGAGAACTTAGGCATCTTTTGACCTCAAAATGACAGCGAGGCTGAGGCTGCCTCCACTCTGAGGAGACACACATCAGACCCAGAAGCTCAGCCTTACAACCACCACACCGGCTCACAGACATCTCTGCTGCCAATCTGAAAGGACGTGCACCAAGCTTCATGAGAGAAGACAGTGTCCTTCACACCCCAGTAGCTGTCTCTCATAAAAAGGGATGGTTATTTTTTTTCTTTTCCAGACAGACCCATAGGTCAAAGGATTTTACACATGGTCTAAGATGAATGACGTGTGTGAAAACACCCAGCCCTCCAGAGAAGCACCTCTCCACAGCTCTCTAGCAAGATGGTCTGTCAACTGGACAGAGCTGCTCCGTTAACTCCACAACTAAGGGGCTCTAATTTAGGGTCACATGACCTTCCTGTTAAGCCAGGGAGGGAGTCTGGAGAATACCACGACTACTAGTTTAAAAAAAAAAAAAGGAAGGAAGGAAGGAAGGAAAAAAGCTTTACCAAAAAAGTCATTATAGAACAAGTCTTGGGAAGCTGGGTTGCTTAATTTGGGAGAAGGGAGGTCTGAAGTGGTGACCTCAGGCCTGTTTTGTGAATTCAGGAGAGTCACAGGTTTAAAACTAAAGAATATACTTCAGGACATCTACGTTCCTGGCTTTTTAGATAAGCAATTCATTCCAAAGCAATATGGAAATCCTAAACTCAGAAATCAGACTCTCTCAAAGTCCCCGTTGTCTTTAGGATGTTTCCTCTCTTGCTCTGATCACACTGAGCTGATTTACCTTTGAGAAATTTTGAAATCTGGTGACTTTTCATTCTTAAATGAAGAAATATCTTCTCAAAACAATCTCCCCAAAATGTTCTGAGAAAAAGGTGACTAAATGAACCTATGGTTAGGACAAAATAACAAAATATATTATCCCCAAAGTAGTTCTTTATCATCCAAATAATAATTCATTAAATATGCTTTTAAAATATATTTACATTTCCCTCAAAATATTTTTTTAAAGATTTTATTTCTTTATTTGATAGAGGCAATCACAAGTAGGCAGAGAGACAGGCAGGGGTGGGGGGGAGCAGGCTCCCCGCCGAGCAGAGAGCCCCGATTGGGGGGGGGGGGTTCGATCCCAGGACCCTGAGATCATGACCCAAGACAAAGGCAGAGGCTTAACCCACTGAGCCACCTCCCTCAAAATATTTTTATACAAACTTTTAGAATAATACATACACAAGAAAGGTCTGCTATTCAACTACACTTGAAAAAATAGGCAAGAACTGACAGTACGTTTTCTTCTGAACTACCTCTTCTCAATGAATTAGAAAGTGGCCTCCTCACAACTACACCAAAATTAAAACTTACTCGTGTTATTAGAAGCCACAATCACATTCCACTTCTTAAAGGAAGAAACTATTTATTCTTCTAAAAGCCAAATATCTACCTTTCTCCAGGCCAGTCTTCACCAGTCTGCATGCTGGTACGGGACTGAACTGGCGGGCAAGCAAGCGTGTCACTCTATTTAGCTTCCATTACAGTCTTTTTACCATCTCAAGGGCTATTAAATGACTGCAAACAGATGTCTGGGTTCCATTAGGGGCCTGCTGATGCCTGGGAAAGCTGAGAAGCTTTAGCATCACAACACTCTTGACACTCCCCTTTCTACAACTACCCAGTGAGCTGCACTGAGCTCACCACAGGAGACCCTTGTAATTCCTTCCCCGGGGCAGAGGGTTAAACAAGGCTCAGGTTTTAATGGCTTTGAATCCCATTTCCTCTTTATATCATTTAAAGAAGGGTGTAAGTGGATTGCGAGATGTTTTTAATAGAGGATCTGGGGCACAGAACAGAGCGCTTGAACATGGGTAGGGTCTGGGGGTACAAACCTGTCAGCAGAATACCCCAGTGCTCATCTTACTTCTTAAGGAGGGTTTTAAGGCAAGCCTGTGCATTATCTGCTACACTGGCTCCAGTTCAGAGCACTTTCTATTTTTTCCTACCTAGAGATAATTAGAGAAAACTATCACAGTTCAAACCATTCAAGATATACGGATTCTGGGTCCAGCTGTGTGACCTTTGGCAAACTACTTAACCTCTCTGGGCTCTCTGCTTACTCATGTGTCAATCAGTATGTTTACCTAATTACACTATACATATTTCAGCCCACTGCAGTTTTACCAAGCACTTTCACATACTTCAGTGCATCTGATTCTTATAATAATCCTGTATAGTAACAAGAGGGCGATTATTCTCATTTCATAAAACTGGAAACTGAGGTTCAGAGGCTAAGTGACACATTCCTAACAGCAGCCAGAAAGTAGCAGAAGTGGAACTGAACCCTTGATTTCTGATTCCAATAAAATGTCTTTCTTATCACATCACATTGTGTGATCTTTCTGGTTCCAACATTATTAAAATGCCACAATTTAGAAAATCTCTGCTCCCATTCACAACCCATGTCACTGTTTGGAACCTGACCTCAGCCACTTATGCTTCAGGGACAAGAAGCACAGGAGCGAGTGCCTTCTTTCTCTCTCACGTAAAAACTGTCTCCAATTTAATTCTTTTGCTCTTTTAAACATGTAGATGTTAAACACTAACTAATAAAGATGATTAGTACCATGGTGAAGAATCTAACAGATCTTGCTTTTGGTGGAAATACTCATGCATGAAGGAATCCAGAATATACATTCTACAGTTAAATTAGAAGTACCTGCAAATTGTTACTTTACTGGAAAAAAGAAGAAGAAACCATAACATGGACGATCGACAATGGCAGTATTGGACTTGGGAGGCTAAGAATGTCCTCTGGGACGATGGGTCCTCTGGCTGGGTCCTTAACTTTGACGTTCATGTGATCTAAGGTCCCCCTTCCTCCCCTTCCATTCTATCCTCATCCACCCATCAAGTAGGGAGACCTATGTCATGGGTAAGAAAGAATGACTGGATACAAAGGAGAATAAAATCTCTAAATGTGTGCATATTGTCTTTACTGGCAGTAAAATTCCTGAGCTGTCAGCAAATTGTGGGGAGGGACACCTGATGGCCCTGTCTGACTTGGAAGATGAAATGGTAGGGTGCCATGTTACTGTGTACCAGTGCTCCATGGTTCTCAAATTCTCAGGGTGGAGTAAAGTTCAAAGTAAATAAAAGTCAGCCTCCCCCACCCCAATCACTCCCACTTTGTTATCAAATGCCATAGCACTGGGCACTGACCTGCTTTGCCCACTTCCCCTTTCCTCAGTGATTCTTCAGCCTGGCACCCAGCTCTGAGATGAGGCCTGCTTAGCACCAGTGAAGTTCCCCACGTTCAAACCAACAACATTCTGTGTGGACATGAGGGAATCAAAATTAAAATCCAACCCATCAGCATCCATGAGTTCGCTACGGATAATGGACTCCATGTCACATTCCAAGCTCCCATTGAACATGTCCAGGTCCAAGTCGCTGGGGAACTTCTCATGGCCCATGACGGGAAGGTTTGCACTCGCAGAGTACAAGGAGGAGCCTGAGAGAGAGTCCGAGAGGGTTTGCATAGACTGGCTGACAGGAGACTGTTGCTGGTGTTTAACTGACCCAAGGCTGCTGGAGTCGCTCAAGCCCATGTTGCTGACAGAATTCGACAAGGCACGGCTACCACCGAGAGCGCCCTGGGTTTGGTGCTGGTGGTGGAGCAAGTTCTGATTGACTAAACTCCCCTGGTTAGGCTGGGCGGCAAAGGACATCATTGGGTCATTTCGAAGCATCACGTTCCGGCGGGAGTTCTGGGCAGACACAGCGGTGCTGGCCTGAGACATCAAGGGGTCCGACTGGGTCATCATGACATCGCTGTGGCTGAGTGAGTCTGAAGTGAGCAGGTCCTGGAGTGTCTGGTTGCCATAGTGTGACATGGACGAGAAAGTAGCTGGCTTGTTCTCTTGGATGGTCTGCATGGGAGACTGGCGCAGGGAATTCAGAGATGAGGGTCCAAACACCGTGCTGTTAAAGGAGCCAGTTGGAGAAGCCAGGCCGGAGCCCTTGGTGGTGTATGGGAAGCTAGAGCTTCGCTGCATGAGCCCTCCAGTGGGCGATGGCTGGGACGATGGGAGCGTGATGTTATCCAGCAGGTCATCCATGAGGTTGTCAGACAGCCCATCATTCAGATTCATGGTGCCCGCCATGTCGGTCAGCCGTGGTAGCTCCACAGTGCATGGCTTACTTACAGAGGGTGAGAGGCTAGTTGAGCTGTAGATCATGGGGGAGAGCGGTGCGTCATCATCCTGGACGTCATCCAGCTCTGTGCTTGCCAAGATGGGGGACAGGCGGCCGCTGACAGTGCTGGCGTTGGAATTGGTGCGCGAGCGGAAGTCCGTCCACGCATCCAGCTCATCGCTGCTGCGTGACGTGGGGCTGCCTGGCCACTTGGAGAGCTGGGAAGGACTGTCATCGGCTGACTCAGGGGCGGTCTGCAGGGCCGCCTTCTTCTTGGCTGCGCGGCCACGGCTCTTGGTATACTTGTTGCTGTTGTCCATGGACACAGCCCGCCGCCGGGGTGCCTTCCCACTCTTTCCCCCATCAGGGTTGATGATCCACCAAGAGCTCTTGCCGGTCCCCTCATTCTGGACCCGCATGAACCGGCTGTGCAATGACAGGTTGTGTCGGATCGAGTTCTGCAGAGAGAAAGGAAAACGCAGGACATGAGACAAAATGGCCCAAAGCTTAGGCACCCAGAAGAGGCAGTTAATCAGACTCGTTTTGGGGTGGGGGCACGCCTTAATTTTGGAGGTTAAAAAGAAAAAAGACAAACATTTGGATGAGACACCCCCATCCAGGTTGGAATTCAATGACAACACTGTAAATGGCCAAGTTTGGTATTTAGGAGGTGGGAGAGGGTTTCATATCCAGGAGAAGTTGGGAAAGTATAAGCTCAATGATGTTGTTTTCCCCAAATTCCTAAATTTCTATAAATTTATTTCCTATACTGAAGTTCATACTTTTATTACCACAGCACTCTCTCCCTGCACTTTGCAACAAACCTCCCTGGCTCTCTACGGGTAATTAATCACTTGGAGCTCATTTTATTCTCTCACGCTTTCCTCCTCCACTACTGTAAAGGCAGCATCTACCTTTTCTTAACCACGTCGATAAACTCAGAACTGGTGTGAATTGTTACGGATCCTTTCTAAGACTCCACCTCTTCCTGCCATAATTTCACACCTGTCACACACCTATTTCTGTCCATTTTGACAGAAATAGGCAAATCTTCCATTCAGAACAATTCCAAATAATTTATATAGATACTCCCCCCTCAAGGCAATGGTCTGAGCATAGTAACTTCCTTCCAAAGAGTACAGTATGGAAAGGAGGGGAAAAGATAACTTTACAGTGGAGATGCAAACACTGTCTCAGGTGATCAAGGTCAGCATTAATATGGCTAAGTCATGCTGATAATACGCATTCTTGACGTGATGAAAATGGCACTCTCTTTTGTAGTCTTTCTTCTAAAACCCATCACCACAGTCTAATTATGAGAAAAACATCAGACAAGTTCCAATGAAGGGACATTTAAAAAAAATGCCTGCTCATTCAGTACTCCTCCAAACAGTCAGACCCATGAGGAACCTAAGGAAGAATGATGATTAAATGTAATGTGTACCTTGGATGGGATGCTGGGCAGAAAAAGGACGTTAGGTAAAAAGGAAGGAAATCTGAATAAAATATGCTCAGTTAATGAACATAGTAACTGATTAATATGTTAATCATTAATCAATGATTAATATGTTAATCATTAATATGTTAATGATAATGTATCAATATTGGTTCATTAGTTGTGACAAATGTACCAAACTAACTTTAGATTAAGATAAGATGTTAACAATAGGGGAAATTTGATGTTGGGTATATGAGAACTCCCTGTCTAGTTTTGCAACTTTTCTGTAAACCTAAAACTATTCTATATTAAAGGGTTAAAAAAAAAAAAGAAAGAGGGCAAAATATCTTCAAAATCCTAACAACTGCAGCCATCTTGCAAGATGCTCCTCTTGGCTTGGTAGATAAGCCTGGTTGGCTGGGATGACCCAGATCCAGTCCTATCTCCGTCACTGATCAACCATGTGACCTCGAGCAAATCATTTAACCTGTCTGCAACAACTTTACTTCTCTACCTTCATTATAGCCATAATAACATCCAAACTATCCCTCCCTGACAGGGATGATGTAAGAATGATACAGGATAATATACTTCAGGAACCGGTCATGCTACCAAGTCAGGGTGTTCTCACTGCTATTATAAAACACAGAGTCCGTGATGAGAGAGCTCATTCTAACCCATAAAATGCCTCATGTGCAGTCAAGGAGGAGCTGATGGCATCCCCCACATCTGCAACAGCACCTACAGGCCAGATGAGTTTTTATTTGCAAGTTAAGGACAAAAGGTATTGCTTGATGCTGTGTATTAAATACAAACAATCCTAAAAGTTACCATAGTTTTTAAAAAATTGGCAATCACCAACTGTATTTATGTAGAAAATGCAAATACATGTGTTCTCCCAGAATGTTTTTAAAACATAGAAAGTCAGCGGGATTTTACCATAAGTAAATAACCCAAAATACTCAGTATTTCCCATGTATAAGTTCCCATGCAAGGAGGGCCTACAGCTTTGGTTGGGCAACGAGCATTTACAACCATGGGTTGTATGTTGGCATTTCCGTGATGGCCATAAAGACACATTTGAGAGAAAAAAAAGGGGGAACATGCTGAGGATCTGATGAGACAAATGTTGCTCCGGAGACTATATACTCTGATTCCCCTTTACTCTTATATGGCTTTTGAAAGAATAATGGCATCTCTGCTGATGGTTCAGAAATCACATTTCTTTAAAAAACAAAATACTTTATACATCAGATACGAAGCATGCTCTTAAAATTCACTGTAAAGGTTCAAAAAGCAGGCAATTGCAAGGTGGTTCTACCATCTGAGTACTCAGATGACTAGATCTATTAAATAAAAAACTTAAACGTGAACTTCTTGGTGAAAAAACAGAAAGGTTCTGAAACTCTGTGGGAGCAACGTGCAACCTTGGCCAGCCCACTTTGCTCCAGATTTTGGAAAGAGTTCATACCAACACCTAGGATTAACAATGACCAATCTTATGTGTTACCCTTGTCTCACTTAAAAAGCACTTAGGAGGGGTGCCTGGGTGGCTCAGTCAGTTGAGCATCTGCCTTCGGCTCAGGCCATGATCTCAGTGTCCTGGGATTGAGCCCCCATTTTGGGTTCTCTGCTCAGCACAGAGTCTGCTTATCCCTCTCCCTCTGCCCCTCCCCCTGCTCATATGTGCGCACGTGTGTGTGTGCTCTCTTGCTGCCAAATAAATAAAATCTTTAAAAAAATAAAAATTAAAAAATTAAAAGCACTTAGGGAAGAATATATATTTTTTAAAAGATACTATTTATTTTAGAGAGAAAACCCAAGTGTGGGGAGGGTGAGAGGGAGAGAGAGAGAATCTCAAGCAGATGCCCCACTGAATACTGAGCCCAGCAAAGGGCTCAATCCCAAGACCCTAAAATCATGACCTGAGCCAAAATCAATGGTTGGACATTTAACTGTGCCATCCAGATGCCCCAACAATGTGTGTGTGTGTGTGTGTGTATGTGTATATATATATATACACACACACACATACATATATATATTTTTTAATGTATTTTTGGTTTCGAGAAAAAAAAAAAGCAACACTTTATAGAACTCCAAAATGCCCTATGTGAATTTTCTAATGATCACCTATTACTACAACTCCAAACCTCAATGTATGTGAATAATTTTGTGAAATTACAAGCTACAATTGGTTAAAATTTGGAGACAGAAATTAAGCCTCTGTAAGGGCACGTGGTAAAGGGGCTGGAACACCCACAGCTAGGGCCAGAACTGCAGGGTGTCAGGACCCAGGTCCCTGATCTCAAGGGGTAAGAAATGAGAGCCTGCCTGATTAGAACACTGCCAATTACTGGGCCATAACTTTCAGATCCATGGTCTCTAGTCCTCATAATAAACCTGCAAAGTTGGTATCAGTGCTCTCGTCAGAAATATGAAAGCTCAGGCTAAGAGATATTAAGTAACTTACTCAAGGTCACGCAGCTAGTCTCCATATAACCCCAAGTGAAATTTGTTTTCCAAACTCCAAAGCTTTTATTATAACTTTCCACAGCTTTGTCACCAAATTATTTTGAAGTAATTGTTTGAGCTATTTGTGCCAACACTTAAAGAAACCTTTAAGAAAGAAGGATATAAGAGGCACAAATTTAGGGGCGCCTGGGTGGCTCAGTGGTTTAAAGCCTCTGCCTTCGGCTCAGGTCATGATCCCAGGGTTCTGGGATTGAGCCCCACGTCAGGCTCTCTGCTCAGAGGGGAGCCTGCTTCCCCCTCTCTCTCTGCCTGCCTCTCGGCCTACCTGTGATATCTGTCTATCAAATAAATAAATAAAATCTTTAATTAAAAAAAAAGGCACAGGGGCGCCTGGGTGGCTCAGTGGGTTAAGCCGCTGCCTTCGGCTCAGGTCATGATCCCAGGTCCTGGGTTCGAGCCTCACATCGGGCTCTCTGCTCAACAGGGAGCCTGCTTCCTCCTCTCTCTCTACCTGCCTCTCTACTTACTTGTGATTTCTCTCTGTCAAATAAATAAATAAAATCTTTAAAAAAAAAAAAAGGCACAAATTTATTCTGCTCAGAGATAAAGCTTCCTTTTGGGGGTGCTTGGGTGGTTCAGTCAGTTAAGCGACAAGACTCTTGATTTTGGCTCAGGTCAGGATCTCAGGGTTGTGAGATGGAGCCCTGTGTCTAGGCTCTGCGCGGGGTGTGGTGCCTGCTTAGGATTCTCTCTCCCTCTGCTCCCCAAGCCCCTGCTCTCTCTCTCTCTCTCTCTCTTTAAAAAAAAAAAAGAAAAAAAAAAAGATTCCTTCCCAACAAAGAAAAAAAAAAAAACAAAACCACACAACTTTATTACTATAATTTTGTTTATGAAGTAGGGATACTAATTTGATGGGTCTTTCCTAAATTTATTTTAAGGAAGTTCTTTCAGAAGAACCCATCTGTAAGTGAAGGCCCATGTCCATACTTGTTCTCTAAATGGCTTTAGCGGCATTCACTCCAGGAAGAGCACAGTGGCCACCATAAAAACAACGTTAACTGCCCTTAGATACTGAAATGAAACCCGACTTCTTAAATCGGTTATTAGCTTCAGTCTCTAGTCTTTGCTGGACTCCTGTTTTAGAGGTTAACAGCAGCCGAATGCATGCCCTAAGGCATGTTACCTGTTTTTCCAGTTACACTACTAAGACAACACAAAAACTGCCACCACCATCGTGACAGTTCCCTATTTCAGCAGCCTCTACCCATACAGGCTGGTCAGCTTTCCATTTACAAAATCCATAATGTGAAGATAGGCCACTGACAGAAGGCCAATGAAGAGGGCCCCTCTGTCCATTTCCCGTTCAAATGTCCCCTCAGCCTAACAAAGTCAGATGCTAGGAGTGTATTCTGGTTGTCCTCACAGGTCATGATTCTAATCACTAGTTCCCCTACCTAAATTTTGGAAGCAGGAAAAGGTAAATAAATAAATGCCAAATAAAATGTCAGAACTGTAATGTTTCCCCACACCTTCCCTGGTAACAAA